ACAAAGTTTTATCTCTTGAGGCCTCTGTTTGCTTATTTATACAGTAGGGATGCTAATGATCGATCTCCAAATAGTACTGCAAGTGCTAAACACACAAAAAGCATAGGTACAGAGCTGGGCAGGAGCCCCAAATAGCTGGTAAGCTATAATATGATAGCTGATCAACATCTGTTACCTTTTAGTGGTATGACCTTTTGAACCTCCCACTTTCCTCTCCATAAGATGGATGTAAAACTAATAGTAGTGGATAACCAGTGCTATACTTGTGAGGATTAACTGAAGATTCATAGTGTACTTAACATATGCCTAACCTTAATAAATTCTCGAAGAAATTTAAGACTAATTTAAGTGTCTACTATTTTAAGTACTAGAAATAATTTAGTATTTATATTAAAGTAAGTTTGATTTTGTTACACAGTTTGTGAAGGAGACAGACAATGAAGTAAGGATGCGACTATTACAGTTTGTCACTGGAACCTGCCGTTTACCTCTAGGAGGATTTGCTGAGCTCATGGGTAAATGCAATTTTACTGCAGTTTCTCTGTAGATAATTTTGTGATAATAATGGCTTTAGACACACAATAGACTTGAATTTAAGGATATTCATCTTGGCTTTCTATAGGGTATCTACCAGAAGAAAGACTACTTAATGGTTATTATCAACTACATTTATAAGACAAAAATGGAAGCTGCTTACCTAGTCTGGTTGGCCATTGCTTTGCTCCTTAGGGTGATTGTGAAGGGAGCAAAATTCTTTAGAGCTACTTCTCTTTCCCCTGATTTCTTATTGCTGGATTTCTGCAGCATTAAGAAGCTTCTCTAGACAGAAGTGATTTACATTGTATTCTGTATTAGTCATAGGATTATGTGACATATTGTGTTATATACTTGTTGTCAAAACCAAAAACATTAAAGAACCAGATAAATTCTGTCTTATTTTCCTGGTTTAGGAAGTAATGGGCCTCAAAAATTTTGCATTGAAAAAGTTGGCAAAGACACTTGGTTACCAAGAAGCCACACATGGTAAGTTCATGAATCCTAAATAGGAAGGCGAAGGCCACAGAAACTTTTTTTTTTTTTTTTTTAAATATGTGAGACCCATTGTAAGTTACTACTCATTAAAGTAGCTAGAATTTCAGTTTTTAGAATAGACTAATACGGGATTCTTTAACTTGGGAATGATTTGTACTTGGTTACTATAGTAAGAAATGTATCCATTGATGCAACAAGTATTTAGAATCACTACTATGTATAAAATAAGACTGAATAAAGTGCCTTTTATGAAGTCTGTACTCCACTGGGGGAAGGGAACACAGATGACAAGTCAACTATTTGAATACTAAGAAGGTCCTTCAAAGGAAATAAAAAGAACTAGAGGGAACCTACTAGATTGGGTGGTCAGGGAGAGTTCTCGGAAAGGATAATGCTTCAGTCTGATAAATAACATGCTGCAGGAATGAACAGGAAAAGTGCATTCCAAAGACCTTGGAGTAAGAAATCATTTTTCAAGGAAATGAAAGATGACTGGTGTGAATAGCAGTCGTGAGGGGAGGTAGGGATAAAAAGAATTCAGAAGCGTAGGCAGAGGTTAAATTATGTAGAGCTTTCTAGGCTATTATAAGGAACTTAGATTTCACTCCAGGGGCAATTAGAAGCCTTTGAAGAGGCTTAAATAGCAACTAATGAGATTAAGGAAAAATCACTCTGGCAACAGAGGAGGGGGGAATCAGATTCAAGACTGAAGGCAGGGAGATAAGTTGACAGAACTGTTAGAGTCATCCAGGCGAAAGATGAGGATAGCTTTAGGAGATACATGGTTCTTTCAGGAGGTCAGAACTATTTTCATACTAAGCAATTACTTGCCTTTTTATTGTTTGACACTTGAACTTCACAGGTACAAAAGCAACAGTGGGTAAAAATGCTGGTGCCTCAGCAAAAATCAAGACAGTGGCACCAAAATGCTGTCTCTGTTCTTCAGCACTGCACACCTGCAGTTAAAAGCAAGGGGTTAGGGGGAGCCAGTTTCTTTCATGATTGTTCTTCTGAAGCAGCAAAAAAAAAAAAAAAAAAAAAAAAGAAAGAAAAATTAAATCTTGATGCTTGAGTATGTATCTTTTTAATATACTGTAAGACAGAATGGGAAGCCTGCATAAAGCACTTCTACACATGAGAATTGTGGTTGTCTGGAGGGGAAAGATCTTAGCAGCTGAGTTGAAAGCTGAACCAGTTTGCTGTTTTGGTTGTTTTTTAAAGATTTTATTTATTTATTTGACAGATAGCGCAAGCAGGCAGAGCAGCAGGGAGAGGGAGAGGTGGGCTGTCCGCTGAACAGGGATCCCTACTCGGGTCTTGATCGCAGGGCCTTGGTATCATGACCTGAGCCGAAGGCAGGTCATGATACCAACTGAGCCACCCAGGCGCCCCCAGCTTGCTTTTTTAATGGAACGCTGTTTTTGCCAAAACTGTTTACTTGGCAGACATTTTCTTGAAAACTAATGAAGTAATAAGCTTATCACTTCAAAGAAAACAACAGACAGCATTTGTTGGCTATAACGAAAGCTGAAGTTTTGGGTAAAAATTAAAATTTGGGAAAACATAAAGATATCACCCACCATGAGCTTGAAAGCTTCTCAAAACTTCTCTGATTAGATTAGTGGTATTTAACCAATGTAGTTTTTTTTTTTTCTATTACATAATTAACTGTGTCAACATTTGGAAATACTTTATAACTTGGTGAACTGTTCTTTCCAAATGACCGGTGCATGAGGTTAAAAAATCACACATAGGTAAAAGATGTATTCAGAGTATAAGATAAACCATTGGGTTTTATGGAAGTAGGTAGAAAAAGTTCTTTAGGATTTCAGAACTTTATTATGTGTTACCTTGTCAAATTAATACAGTATCTAAGAATAATAGCCACAGTTACCTGAAAAAAATTACTGGAGTACATCTTTATTTTCTAACTGCATATCTATGTGGGACAAAATTTCATATACAATGCAACAAAATAAATGCACACATAAAGTGTGGAAAGGGATCATAACAATAACAATGAAAAATAGAGAACAACAGCCTAGATTAAACTGGTAAATCCAATAAGAGAAACTGTTGAGGCAGGGGAGAGGTCCATAACCAAAGGAGATAGTTGTTCAAGAAAGATGAAAAGAATTGGGATGCTTAGTATAAGCTAAGGAATTGGACTTTGATATCAAACAGGAACACTTATGTTGTTGTAATAGGAGAGGAAGAAAAGTTTGATGTAAACTATAGTTACCACTGTTGGTTTCTTTTTTCTCAAAGTGTAAGATGAGGTCACTGGCTAAGAATGAAGAAAGAAAAACTTTTGAAGAGAAAGAGCTGTCAGATTTATTAGCAAAATACGACTAAAAATGCTGCACAACATTGGACTGCCTACTTGGAACTTTATAAAGTGACACCATCTGTCTAGTTGTAGTATTCTCCCCTCCAGTAACTTTCAGCTGTTAAGGTCCCAGGAATGAAACACTTGAAGGGTGAATTCATAAGGTGTTGGAGTTTTGATTAGTAAGTTCAAAAGAGGGACAGACAGATTTAAAAGTATTTGCAAGGTACTGGTTATAAGGCGGGGCTGTGGATTAAGTACAAAGTAAGGATAGGAAGAGTCTGAAGACAGGCTAGGATGGTGAGAAAGTAACGGGCTAATGTTGCCATTTTAATTGAAGGAAGCTGTAAAGACAATAGAGTTTTTAATTAGACCTTTCCTTTAATTAGAAATTTCCTTTACAAGGTTCAAGGTGTTATCTTGAAGTTAGTAACAAATAGAGGAACAGGTCACTGAAGATGAGAACTGGAAGGCCATGCGTGGCTGTTGCATATCATCCAAGAGAATGAGAGGAGACATGAACCAGGTGCCAGAGCTTTCAGTGAATGAAAGGAATAGGACCAAGAAGTTAACAGAGGAGAGCAAAAAGTTCAGAAAGAAGGTTGCATAGCTAGACTGTGTATGCCTCAGAGGGGAAAAGTTTTGTTGATTGGCCGCAGAAATGTTATGTTTCAGACTAGCTGGATTTTTAGTTAAGGCAAGAGAGGAGTTACTCAGACTGTAGAAAAGTGCAAATCATAAAACAGAAGTTTAGAAGGATGGAATATCTGAGTGGAGGACAGGGAAGAGGTGGGGATTTCATTCAGATGGGTGGAATACTGTTGAGGATCCAGAGACACTCGAGTTTTTAGTAGTAACTAAGGTAAGCAGTGCTACAGTCTATGGTGAAAAGTAGTCTTGATAATTCTCAGAGTTCTGCTATCACCTCCAATGCTTTGCTGCTTATTGAGGTGGTTAACTTGCAGAGCAGTGGTTCCCTTCGACTATATACAGTGATACAGCAAACCAACAGGGTACTGTTTCCTTAATCCATTAATCCACTGGAAGGGTATTAGTGTCTTCCCTTTTTATAGACAAAAATAGCAAATTTGATTTAAAGCTGGAACGAAAAGCTAAACTGAAACTTAAAACAGTATTCTGATAGCCACATAGTAAGTACTTAATAAAAGATGAATAGATTTTAGTATGTCTCCATCCTGTCGCTGATGTCTTAAAACAGAACCCTGTTTTGGATGTTTTCAAGTAATCTACTTTTTTATGTAGTTCAATTCAGCATTTACTAAATGGATCAATGTTGGGAGAGTAGGGAAGACTGCCCCTCATGGGTTTTAGAAACTAATGTAAGAAACCAGTCATCATACAAAGTAAGTGCCAAAATAGAAATAAAAAGAATTTATGGAAAGGATAATTCTTGGAAGGAAGTTGTAACCTTTGGACTGATTCTTAGTGAGAAAAGGTATCCACATTATGAAAGAGCTATAGAACATGTCGTAAGACAGAAAAGTATGTGTTATGCTTAGAGAACATTAAATAAGTGGTAGGGGGCTGTACCAAACAGCATGGCAGGCCTCCTTCCCCCATACCTTCAATCCATAGGAATTAGAAGCAGCAAAGCTTTTTTTTTTTTTTTTTTTTTTTTTTTTTAACGGGACACTGCACGAACTTGCATGTCATTCTGGTGCAGGGGCCATGCTAACCTCTGTTGTTTCAGTTTTAGTGTATGTGCTGCCAAAGAGAGCACAGCAAAGGTTTTTTTAAACTGCCATGTCTTTTGAGGAAAGTATTTCTGGCCATGGTAGAAGGCTAGAGATTCAGTAGAAAGAATGAGTTTGACAAGGCTTTATGTGATGAAAGAATGACAGAATTTGACAAGGCTTTATGTGAAAGATGTAAGAACTCGAAAGTGACAGATTCTTAGTCTAGGACTCTACTGAAAGATATTTTGTTGACCTCTGCTGTCATTGTACCTTGAAGCATGAAGTGGGGGGAGGGGAGAAAGTACATGGTCTGTTTAATGGCTACCATTTAATTTTCTCATATAAAGAGAATAAAGTGGTCTGAGAACACCATTTTATTTGGCTGCCTTGTTTCAAAAGGCTCTCATCAGGTGTTCTGACTCTTATAGAGGAGTTGGGACTGATGGGGTGGTAGGAGGGAACCTGGATAACCTAAAACTTTCTATATGAGAAAATGAAAATAGAGAAAGATTGTAACTACATTAGAGCTATTTCATTGGACACTTAAGAGTGGGAATTGGACCCCCTACCCCCCACCCCGTCAACCCAAATCCAGTTGAACTCAGCACAGGGAATTCTTTGAGTCTGGCAGGATTGAAAAGACCAAAGTTTGTCTTTATTGGCACTCTATCACTATACTAGTTCCCAGAAAAATAACTAATAGATTCTTAATAACTGGTAAGTGAATGAAAGAAAAGGACTCTCTTAAAAACCCAAGAGAAGTTAGGGGGACTTGTGAATTTGTAATTCCAGTGTTCTCTGGGAATTGTTAAAATATTTTTATGAGTACGTCTTCATTTTAGTAGCTTGCCATAAGAAATCTGTATATGTTAATATTAAATAATATAGTAGTACATTTTTAGAATACTTCCAGCAAAATTTTTGTATCTTCCTCTATCCATTTAGTTTTTCAAATGTGCTTTAAGAAATATTGTATTAGAAATCTTTCTCGAGTTTGTTTTATTGAAAACACATCTGTTTTTGTTTTTGTTCAGTTTTAATCGCTTGGATCTACCACCATATAAGAGTTATGAACAACTAAAGGAAAAACTTCTTTTTGCAATAGAAGAGACAGAGGGATTTGGACAAGAATGAATGTGGCTTCTTGTCTTGGAGGAGCTCTTGCATTTAAATACCCCAGCCAAGAAAAATTGCACAGATAGTGTATATATAAGCTGTTCATTCTGTACAGTGAATTTTCTGAACCTCTCAAAGTATAAATGTTTTCCGTTCTTCCACAGAAATATGCAAAACAGTTCATCCTTTTCTACTTTATTTATTGTTCCCTTGAAGTGACTGACCAGGAAAAAGATCATCCTTAAATTTTGAAGCAAGCAAGAGACTTTATTAAAAATAAGTATATCTATATAAGCATATAAGATAGTGGCTCTAGTTTTATAGAGCTCCGAGTATATTAAACATGACAGCCGTTCATTCAAAAAATAATCTGGATTTGCTTTACCTTGTTTCTAGTATCCAGAGGAAAAAGTACAAATTGCTTCATGATCTTCTCCCTTATATAACACCTTTTGAGGGTGTTTAGTTGCATGGCTGTTCAGGAAGGTATTAACGGCTTAGGCCAAATCTTACTTTGAGTATGTTAAAAAATGCTGCTGGCTTTTCTGAAGACAGGCATTTGAACCTGTCAGCTCATTTTAAATAAATACAATAGTTGAAAATTTTCCCTCTTTGCTACATCACTAATACAAAGTAATGAATGAAACCATAATGTACATGTGAGTCATACACTATATCTGATGCCATTTAGTTTATTCTAGAGATTGGAAAGAATTCATTAAGCAGCAAAGAGGTTTGTTTACATGTTACTTTGGGATGCTAGGTATTTGTGGAGTTAAAAAGAATCAGGTACTTAAGTACTTTTGTTTTTAAATCTGTGATGTTCTTTAAATTTAACTCATAATAAATTGATGCAGTTTGATACTTAGGAACATATAATAAGGTAATGTGAACATTTTTGCTTTGTGTTCAGAGTTTTGGTTTTATAAAACCAGATGGACTGAAGAGTTGTATAAGCATTTGAACACGCAAATGAAAACTATTTTCTATTAGTGTTCATATATCCTCATTCCTCTTAAATTCATGAAAATTTTATGATCTGAATTATATAGGCATATTAAAGACTCTTTCGGTCCCCACCCCCCTTTTTACATAGATCATTATTTTTGTCCTAATAACTTTTTAATTTTTCATTATCAAGGGCATTTGCTGAACTACAAAGATGTATAACAAATTAAAATCTGATGTGAATGATATTAATGCTATTTTAGCAAAACTGGGCTTCCTTATTAACAAAAATTGCAATTTCCATTTGTATCATTTCAATATGCAGTGTAAATTTCAGGAAGTTAAAAATTTTTTTATAACCACAAACTGACATCTTACAATGTTATCTGTAACATATTTAACTGCTAAGTACATATGGAAAATACTAGTATACAATTTAATTTCCCTAAACAGTTTTTGTTTTGCCAAAATTTTATTTTTCTACATACTAGATCGTGTTCTGCACTTCTATTCAAAGTTCATAGTAAAGACGAAATAAAGGCAGTGATCCACTATGTTGAATAGACTCCTTTCCCAAATCCTCATCTGACACTGGGCTATCTTGAAGCATAAAGCATTAAAAACAAATACTAATGTATATGACATTATGTGATAGAGGATGACCAGTCTTCAAAGTGGCTACTTAAATTTTACCATAGAAAGCACCACTGCTCAATGAATTTTGCATGACATGACAGAAGTTATTGATAAACATCATTCAGTGGAGGTGAGAATGTGAGTATACCATTTACCAGATTTAATTGAAGACAGGAGGCTTTCAGGGTGCTGGCCCCCCCCACCCCCTCAGTTCAGGTAAGAAATTACTGTGTACCAGTTGAGGCTACACAGAACCCACAGAGACCAAACCAGCTTTCTGAAGAAGGCTCTTTTGGAGAACTCGGAGCGTTCCACCTTTCAAACTCAATAGAAAACCAAGCCTACTGGCAGGATTTTATTATATCTTAATTCATACACTCAAGGGGCGGTGAGAGAAAACCAAGGATGTGGGTTTCCTCTCACCTTCTCTCTTTTCCCATCCTTGTCCTGTGCTGGGCTAGACAGGCTCACTATGCCTGAAATGAAACAGGCAAAGAATGAGGCTCAGAGACAAATTCATATTATTTCATTTCAGTACACTCACCACCACCACCACCACCAAACTGAGCCCAATGAATGGATAAGAGGCACAACATAATTTCTCATTCCATCAATCAGATTAGTTGTCTGTCTTCCTAGGAAAGCAGCTCTAAGTGGCAGTTAAAGCTCAAAGAGTTAATAAACTTTTTAACTTCACAGCCTTCAGTTAATCACCTGCCTATTTTTTTTAAAACTAGATGGCATGGTTATGTGTCAAAATACTATTAGGCAGTACTATTTCTATTAAAAATGACCCTGACTGGTAAGTTCATCTGGACTGGGAAATCTCCTACTTGATAATAAACCACACCTTTGGATTTGCCAGAGGAAATCCATAACTGCATGTCCCTTCTGAGGTCCCTGAGCTGTGACCTGTTCTTGGAGCTGTGTGAATGCTCTGTTAAACAGACTGCTGCTATAAGCTCATCTTCTAAAATGTTAAGGAGTCCTGACATTGACTTGCTGGTTCAACTGTGGTTCCTATCTTAAACCTTCTGAGTAAGACTGGTACGGACTTTGAGTATTTGTTGAACCCTGGTGGATGATATTGCGGAAGTCAAAAATCCTCTCATTTAAATATGTAGATGAGAGAACAAAGGTGGTCTTGTAAATACTCCCAGTTCCTTCTTAATCTTTTGAACTTTAAAGTCAAACTTAAGATAAATGGTCTCAAGGAAAAAGCCCAGACCGTATCAGAGAAGCCTTCTACATTAAGGAGGCTTTTTACTGACTTGTTTACTCCTCAAAGGATAAAACAGTCGACCATTCTCAGGGCAGTGCAGTGGGTCAGAACAAGGCATTCATTAAAAGTTCATGGCCCTTGGCAAAGTTATCCACCCCTCCTTTTATTTCTTCTTCCTATTAAACTTAAGGTACAGTAATGCCCAGGTACACAGAATCCAAAATAAGTTGTATGGTAAATACCTCATGAAGTTTAAAAAAAAAAACCCTCAAATAACAGAAGCAAAAATGTACAACTGAAAAAGTGGCATCTCCTTAAGTCCAAATTTTCTCTCCCAAATCTCAGCCAAGAAGAATACAATCAGATAACTGCATTTAAAAATACTTACTGATAACAGTATATACTTTATGTATTCTCTTTCATCCTCACAACTCCTAAGGTTTGGTGTGTTTTTGCTTTTTCTTCGTTGTAATGATGCTTATTTTATAGATAAGTGAGTCATTTTTACAAAATTCATAGTTCACTGGATTAAATTCTCAATTGGGAAAATTTTGCTATTAATGGAGAGCTTTCAGATTTTTTATAAAGGAAGTAAACATATCCGTAAGGCGAGGTAATTATAATTACCTATAGCCCTTGTCGGTAATATGTTTACAAGACAGACGACTACAAACTTACGTTCACATCATGCGTGTGGGGAAATAAGCATCTCCAGCTAGCAGTCACATCTGGAACACACACAGTTAAGTAGGGACTGCACAGGAGGGAGAATAATGGGGTCCGAGGATTTGTTCCCAGAAGTAATAGGTCTCAACTGTGAGTGAGGAAATGCCAAGAACCAGTGTAAGACCTGGTGAATCAGACCCCTGGGAAGTCAAAAGGAAGAGACAAAGTGCACACAATCAGACTCTTAGGAATGTATGGCATCTTGGTGAAGGGAGCTAGCTATCCCTTAGTTTATAAGGGGGGAAAAAGGGAAGATAATAGCTCTATAAATTAGGACCCAGCAACTGTACTCCTGGGTGTTAATATAACCTGTACCCAATGTTCATAGGAGTCAAAGACTGGAAACAACCTACATGACCTTCAGTGAATGGTTAAATGGGTACATTTATACCATGA